GCAGGGAGCCCGATGCGGGATTCGATCCTGGGACTCCAGGATCATGACCTGAGCCGAAGGCAGTCGCTTAACCAACTGAGCCACCCAGGAGCCCCTAAATAAAATCTTAAAAAAAAAAAAAAAGAGGGTGACTCCAATCGCCTGGGGTCCACCGCGACCTCGGGGCACTTGGCGGGAAGCCTGCCTCCTGCCCGCGTGCCACTAAGCGGATGCTGCCCCCGCATCACGCGAGGCCCCACACCGCACAGGGCCCGCGCCTGACCGCTGGCCACCTCCCCGGGCAGGAGTGGACGGACAAGGCCGGTCAGAGGCCCAGCGTGCGGACCGCGGCCTGGCACCCCGCAGAGAAGGCCCGCCTGCCACCCGGCCCCGGGAGCCCCCCGCACGTACCGGTGAAGTCCTCCGGACACTCGCAGGTGTAGCCGCCCTCGCGGCTGTGGCAGTGGCCGTGGGTGCCGCAGGGGCTGGAATAACACAGGTCGATCTCGGTCTCGCAGTAGTCGCCCGTGAAGCCCGGCGGACAGCGGCAGCGCAGCCCGGTGATGGGGTGGATGGGCCGGAAGAGCACGGTGGTGGAGCTGATGAAGGGCGCCGAGCTGTCGAACTTGAGCACGGACACGCACTTCATGTAGTTCTCACAGGGCTCCCGCAAACAGATGTTGTCGTCGAAGGGCAGCACGCGCTGGGTGGACACGGCCGTCAGCAGCGTCCGGTTCAGGTAGATCTGCTCCTGCAGGTCCTCCGACGGGAAGAACTTGTCGCGGACGCCGCCAGGGAGCAAGGCTGAGAAGGTCACGTTCAGGATGTTGGCGCGGACGTCCGTGTCATTCTGGATGTTGAAGACGAAGACGTCGTCCTTGGTGGTGGACAGCACCGTGGCCACCCCTTCCACGAAGAGGGACAGCAGCGGGGAGAGGAACTTCTCCTGCGACATGTTCTCCAGGCGGACGGTGATGCTATTGGTCAGCATGTCGTCCGTGATGATGGTGACCCGCAGGGTGCAGAGTGCGGCCACTCTGTGGATGCCATCTGGGGACACAAGGAGGGTCAGGGTCACTCGGGGTCTCCTGGGCCCCGCCAGCCCCGCCCGGGAACCGCCTCAGGGGCACTCAGCATGGCAGAAGTGAGCCCGAGCACCCCCAAGCCCCACACCCTACCCCACCGGTGACTGCCCCCTGACCCCTGCTTCCCAGCCCCCGTTCTCCCTCCACATCCGGCTTCCCAAAACACAGCTCCCGTTGAGTCTGTCTTGCTCAAAAGAACCCCAGGGACCCCCAACCACTCAGCAGGACATCCCAGGACCACCCACAACCCAGCCCCGTGCCACCCGAGTCCCCCACCGCACACGCTTTGCTCCAGACCCACGGGGACACTGGGCCTCATTTACCACCTCCACACCTGTTCCAGACACCGGGAGACCCACTCTGATTCCACCCATCCCCAGCCCCGCTCAGACCCCACAGTGTCCAGGATGGTGCCGTCCAGGTACGGCCTTGGTCTACACTACGGTGATGGTTTTTCTTCCCTTGGCTGTAAACTATGCATGCCTACGTGCCCGACACGTAGGAGACGCTCAGCAAATGCCACTCAGAGACACCCACAGGACAGGGTGCACCTCGACCAACACAGGTAAGCAAACCATGAATCGAGGTACTTAGGACTGTGAGACCAGAAAGGGTGGAATATTTTGCTTATGATGTTGGGTTCCGAGCCCAGAATCAGAGGAGCTGTCCAAGGGCTGGCCACGGGGGCTCTCCCCAGGATGGCTCTGGGGTGGCACCATTAGCCGGCCCAGCATCCCTGACAGGTGCAGCCACCCCATCCAGGGGCCTTCACCTGCCTCCCAGGCCTCACCCCAAATGTGCTACGGGACCCTGAGAAAGACCTGGCAAAGTTCACATCCTTCTGGCTCAACTTAAATTCTGCGTCCCTACAGCTCTGCCCAATCCTCCCCATCTGCTCCCCCAACCTGCTCCCTGCCTGTGCCCCCCACAAGTGCACCCCCAGGTCCATGGGGCACAGAGCCATCTGTGTAGGCCAGTGAGCCCTGGGGGGACCCCTCCCACCTTCTCGTAGCTCACAGCCTGGGGGTGCTCCCCCGGGGCGCAGAAGCCACAGGGGGACCCTTCCCCACTTATTTCTGGAAAAGCGGGGTCACTGAGAGCGCAAGTCACATGACAAAACCCAGGGGCCACCTTGTCACTGTGGCCCCAGCACAGTCCCCACAAAGCCCAAAATCACGGGGGACAGAAGCACCGAAGCTTGTGGACACTGGAACTGTTTCTCTTGGGCACTGGAGCACCACGAGCCCCTTCAGGAGGGACCCTGAGTCACAAAACTTGCCCAAACAACAAGAAAATGTAACTGCTGGGGCCCCTGGGTGGCTCAGTCATTAAGCATCTGCCTTCGACTCGGGTCATGATCCCAGGGTCCTGGGATCGAGCCCCGCGTCGGGCTCCCTGCTCCGCGGGAAGCCTGCTTCTCCCTCTCCCACTCCCCCTGCTCATGTTCCCTCTCTCGCTGTCTCTCTGTGTCAAATAAATAAATAAAATCTTTAAAAAAAAAAAGAAAGAAAAAAGAAAACGTAACTGCTCCCCAAGTCACGGCATTTCCGGGTGCTCCATCTGACGACCACGGCAGACCGGAGACCCTCAGATTCTGAGAAAACCTGCATCGCCCATTTAACAGCTGGGGGGGGCCCGGCTTCCGCCCCACTGACAGCAGCCCGGCTCAGGAGGCCGGGCACCAAGGGCTCTGCAGCCGTTCCATCTCCTCCTCACAAAAAGCCAGCAGGGCCGAATTTAGAAAGTGGTCTTGATGACCTTGACAGTTTTGAGGATGGCTGTCAGGTTGCTGGTATTAGGTGCCTTTTACTTTCCTCTCTATACTTTCCTGTACCATTTTACTTCACACAGCGGGTTTATCACTGAAAAGCCCGTTTGCATTCCGGAAGACACGGAGCTTGCCTGGGGCTCTCCCCAGCCTCTGCTGCAGGCATTTCTTCTGCGGCTGTAAACAACAGCTACAAGCCAGGTTTGCGCGCCCCCAAATCAGGCCAGTGTGATTCCCACTGCTTTCTTCAGCAAAGGTGAGTCACCTCGTTGTCCCCAAATCACAGGAGGAAAGAGAACAGATGGCAGAATGTGCCATGGCGGCGGGACGCCCACCAGCAGGTGCTTCCCGCAAAGCCACAGATAATGGGAGTGAGTGCTCCGCGGGTCTTCACAGAAGCCACCCTCCACGACCTTGTCCCCTGTGGGGGGCCCACCCCTGGGACACTGCCGCGAGAGGTCACACTGTGGTCTCCAAGGAGCCGGGAGGCTGCAGGGGACAGGGGACAGAGCCACATTTGCAAGATGTGGTGACAACACGACCCGAGGAGGCAGCAGGGAGGTGGGGTATCCATGGAGGGATGGCGGTCATCACTCAGTTGAAGAGGAAACTCCTTCCTGGAGCTAAAAGCAAAAAAGAGGGGCGCGTGGGCGGCTCAGATGGTTAAGTGTCTGCCTTCGGCTCAGGTCATGATCCCAGGGTCCTGGGGCTCTGTGCAGAGCCAGGAGTCTGCTTGTCCCTCTCCCTCTGCTCCTCTCCCTGCTTGTGCTCTCCCTCTGTTCTCTCTCAAAATAAATAAAGTCTTAAAAAAAATAAGCAAAACAGAGGCGAGGCCTGGCACGTCATGGGCGGGAGGGTGTGTCAGGGTCCTGGGGCTGCCGTAACAAAGCACACAGACTGGGCAGCTTAGCCAACATTAATCCTCTCGGTCTGGAGGCCAGAAGTCTGAGATCAGGTGTCCCAGGGTGGTTCCACCTGGAGCTCCGACGGAGAGTCTGTCCCACGGCTCTCTCCTGGCGGCCGGTGGCTGCGGGCAAACCTTGGCTTGCAGGTACATCTCTCCCATCTCTGCCTGGTCGTCTTGGGGCCTTCTCCCCATGTGTGTCTGTGTCCAAATTCCCCTCTTAAAAGGACACCAGTCATTGGGTTGGGGCCCACTCCAATGCAGGATGAATTCATCTCAAAGCTAACCTTGATCACATCTACACAGACCCTATCTCCAGATAACCTGGCATTTGGGGGTTCCAGGTGAACGTGAACTTGAGGGCATGTTCATCCATCCAGGACAGATGGCAATGTATGG